GGGGTGTTGTCAAGCAAACAGGATGCTCACCATCGGTGCGCCTCGGTGGCCAATGAGCTTTGGCTTTTCAGGTAATTCAGTACGCTTTATCAGACAAGGAGAACTGATGAACAGGGGACACACGAAGATGGCTGCCGACATAGCTACAAATACCACTGCCATCAGGAACTTGGACCCTAGTGAGAACAAAAGTAAAAAAATAAGATAATCCTCTAGCTATTACACCTGTGCAGAAGTATGAGAATAATGAGTATTTGTCTAATGGGAGTATCATAAATATAATTTGTGCTTTCAAAACCATTGCATCCTTTCTTATGCCTTTTCCATTATGCCACATTCATATTTCTGCATTTAGTTTTATGCAACATGTGAATTACAGGACATGATAAAGCAATAGCTATTTAGTAAAATACATGTTTTACTTGCCAGGTTTCATGACAAAATATACGTGGTCGAGATCACATGAACATTTGCATAGAGGACACAAACTCTAGTGTTCTACAATTTACGGCGTTTAATTTACGTGAGTCCAGGTCTACTGATGCCACAACCTTGCAGGTTTCTTCTTCAAAGTACAAAGTTGCATTTACTGACATCCCAGTTGTTAATCTGTTCCTTATTAAATGGTAAGGACAAAGTATTTAGACCACAGCACATGATGACCATTACTGGACTCCAGTGGAAGTCCATGTCCTGTTTGTATTTTGTGAATAACAACGGTACATTATCGCATTAAATTTTAAGCATAACACTAGATTCTAACTGGTGATGCCAGCTGTAATGCCATTTTAAATTTTATTTATACGTACTGTGTCTCTGTGTCTATGTATTCAATTATTCAGATCTTATTCACTTTTTCCTTCTACAAAAATGTTGTGTCTGTATACAGTGCTGCACTTGCTTGTAACTCATGCCAAAGTGTGCTCTTAAATGACGTCGGAGACCTACATTTTTCCATGGCCGTGTGGAAGCCCCGCAAGATGAAAGGACTCAGCAGGGTCAATGCACCGACAGCACCAAACTGCAAGAAAGGAGCTGTGGCCTGCCAAGAGGTCAACACGCACATCAAATCACATGATGTACACAGACAACTGTAATGCCATCTAAATGCCTCACTGCCATGTGAAAAAAAAAACTATAACCTGTAAATTTTACCTGGAGTGAGAGGAGAACAGTTGGCCATTCCTTCTCCCACATGCAACTAATTCCTGCGACCCCACAAGCGATTAATGTCACACCAAAAATAAGAAGATCTGTGTAGAGTAAAAGCAAATATAACATTTAACAGTTTTAGCAACCTCAATAGATACTGCATATTTGGAACAAATCTGGACAGTTAAATGTTTAGGATACCTTGTGTAGCCAATGTAAGTCGAGTGATTCTCCTAAGGCAACTTGGAACAGTGCAAAGAGCTGCAATAAATAGTGGTAAATTATAGAAGATGAAGTTGCAAACATGCCTAATATTTTTTGAACCTGTGATGATGTTCGATTCCATGGTATAAGGCTAACTTAAGCTATTTATACTGTATATGCTTTCATTTAGCTAGAATTCAAAAGATCCACTCTCATGCCAGCAGTTACTCCAGTAGTCACCCCATCATTACTGCTAAATTTCCGCACTATAGTACAAACACTATAATCTCACCAGCAGCAGAACGCAGTAGCTGGTTAACACTGCAGAAATGATGATCAGCACCATGAACCAGTTCACCCACCATTTCAGTTTTGTGAAGCTGTGCCTGATAATAGAACAATAGAGACCAGCACAGGGTGAGCCAAATAAAGGTCACCAATAATGAAAGAAAAGAGAGGATTCTGGGCTTTTGTGTTAGATTCAATGTGGACCGCGTGTCTGTGCATGTTCACTCACCAGTTAACGTCGTCTTGGTCATTAAAAGTAACAAGACAAATGTATATCCAGCACAGGGAAAGCAGGGAGACCACGGTGACAACCGAGAACCAACAGCATGCACACTAAAATGAAAAAGAACACGTGAAATGTTATACTTCAAAGCTTTTATGTCTTTAGGTTTAATAATAACCAAGATATTTGGTATGCTGCGTGTGTGTAAGTGGAAGTATGTGTGTATGGATTCCAAAGGCAATTTGATCTGAAAGGGAATGGAACAATTCCAACATTTTTTCATAGCTGGTTTGCGCCCATGCACTGTGCTGTGACAACTTACCACAAACAGGCCCTTCATGTTATTTCACCATCAACATCACCTTCACCCTCCAAAATTATAAATGGCTACCCCCACCCACTTATAAACCGGTTCCAGATAAGTCCATAACAAGCCTGTTAGGGCCTGTGAGTTTATTTATTTTTCTTGGCACACAAATGCATAACCAGCATTTATTGATCGCTTCACTAACAAAAAGGTTTCCTCTTCTAAAAAACTCTCTCTAAACAAAGTTATCTACTTTCATTAAAAATGCATATAAAGCACAGGATTCGCATAGCACAACAGTTCATTGACAATATTTTACATTTCTGAATTCAGTCTGGTGGAATTTCAATCCCTGATTACAGGGCTTTGTAAAACGTTATGTTCAGTGGAAGTTCAAGGAACCAGAAAACTGAAATTGATTAAGTAATTTGAAACAGATTATTTTACATAATTATCACACATACTACAGTGCAGTATAGAGCAGTGCTGAAGAAAATTAGAACATAAATTACGTATCTGAACTCCCTAATGATCATATAAAAATATAGTCATATTTGTTAAATAGACACACAAATGTGGCAAAAATACTCACTTTTCTGTTATTTTCACTCAAGTGCTTCCAGCGGCAGCTGTAGTAGCCCCTGCTGCAAATTCTGCAACAGCTGTCGTCTTGTGGCATCACTTCTCCTCCTCATTCACAGTGTAGGTCCTGTTCACTGCAATCTCAACACCTGATACACACAGCCCGAAGAAAGATGGAGGGAGCCCGGATACCTAGGCGTAGCCTGATCTCATTCACCTCTCCAAACCTGTGGAGTGCAGGAAGAAAAAAAGATTAGTGTGACAGCAAAAAGAAAGCAAATGAGGGACGAGGGGGTGAAAAAAAAAAAAGTTTCTTGGAGCATTAAGGCAATCCCTGCTCAATAACCCCCTCAATAGAGCCAGTGTCCAAAGGGGGTATAGCCACTGGCTGGATTTACAATGGCCAACACCATGGGGTATTGAGAGTAGTGCACAGACTGTCCTGAGAGTGAAGTCACACTATTGGAGCTTTTACAGAACAAACAGTGACAGGCACATCCACGCACAGAGAGGGGGAGGAGGAAATAAAATGCAAGTAAAGAACAAACAGTTTACATCCTAACAGAGTGAAACAGTTTACATACTAAGTGAGTGAAACAGTTTACATACTAAGTGAGTGAAACAGTTTACATACTAACAGAGTAAAACAGTTTACATACTAACAGAGTGAAGAACACTACGAGTGGAGGTTTAAGGGGCCTTAGATAGATATTTTCACATTGACAGTCACTAGGCCGAGAATGGGTCACAGCTAGATTTTAGTAAACCTGTTGGGGCAAATAATTTTCCAGCTGTGCCAGGTTTCGGTCCCCTCTTAAAAAAACAAAAAACTATGAGGGAAATTACACACATAAGTGTCACCCACAGAGCAGACACATTAAGCAATAACATTTTCTATGTGAAAAGACTCCATTAAACCAACTGTTTCTTGTTTGACTTGATTTGACTTGGCGTTTTGCCATCTCACAAGGATTTCTCATTTTGTTCAAATGTCAAAGCCTTCAGGGTAATAAGCAAGTTCAAGGTTGAGGCATAAGTTTAGAAAAGATCAAACAGGTCAAATTAAGATAAAACAACTGTCACCACAAATTATTCCACTGTATAGAATAAAGTGACACACTACCATTAAGTAACAAGTTTCCTTACACTAATTAGGAGATTGTCATCTAATAAGGGCATGTTTGGACAGGTTAGACAGCCTTTCAAGTCATTGACATGAAACACAAGATGCTTTGTTTCACTGCACAAACTGAGCATTTACCAGGAAGTTTTAAGCCTTAACTGAATGTTGAGTAATAACGGTAATATGTCTGAGCTACAGACTGACAACTAGTGAGAAGATGAAAAAAGAAAGTGATATAAATGTCCCTTTTACAATCAAAGAACAATTAAACAATTCATGGTGGAGTGCCTCCCAACAATGTCATTTTTTTGTCCCAGACTGACATAGCTGATATAGCTGGAAGACATCCCTGTTCTCATTTCTAACCTCATACATACGCACACCTAACACCTGTGGCAAAGTGTAAGGACATAATTTCATACACTTTCACTGGCATAGTAAACTGTATTTAGACAAAAAAAATCTAGTGGGTTTAGTATTATTTAAAAAAGGGACGAAAGATAAAATATCCAATCACATTTTCTTAAGTGATTGATGTTAATTTAATAACAAATAAATTTTGTCAAAACAAAACACTGTCATATCTCAGTTGGTCCCCTAATGACCTTCATGCAGTCAGAGTGGCTCAACCTCCTCTTGGAAACAGTATTGTGCTGCTCTGATGCCTTTCCTAAACTAATCCTAAACTATTTTCAGCCATCACTTAAACATCACTTAAAACACAAGACTTATCTCACGTATTATGTGCCTTATCTCTCTTGTGATTTTATCTAGATTTTTGCAATGCAATGTTCATGTCCACAAGGATTTCTTAATTAATCGTTTAATCCATAGCACCGAAGAGACAAAACCCGTTAACCAAACCAGTGTGTCCAAGAGGATGAGGTGCACAATCTCTCTGTATCTTTTTCTCTATCTCGCAAAGTGACTTACCAACAATCGCGCTGTGCCGATAAATTCTCTTCACACCGAAGTTCTCTCTTGGGTTTCTTTTTCTTCACTCTCCCCACTCTCGCACCCTTTTCACTCTCTCTGAGTGCGTGAACTGAATGTGAATGATCCAAAATGAATGGGTGCGCGTTAAGGAGGCGTGGCCTAGCGAGGGAGGATCCAAATATTTTCACTCAGGTAGGCTACAATGTGAAACTTGCCCATAGAAAATTGAACCTGTAGGCTACGCTGCCTGTTAATCTGCAACAAATAGCATAGATCTTTTAAAGAGGAAAAATGATTCCATTCCTCAAGGTCACTTTTAACTAAGCCCATAAAATGTATTTGCAGATGGAGTTGTAATATCCATTTTATAACCATAATGTCGTTTTCATTTTATCATTAGCTCATCTAAACCACGAGGTGCAGGCTACACATGCAGTTTTAGTAGCCTATTTAACAAAGTGTGGAGCATTAAAGTAGGATGGACCTATGGCTGAGGTGATGAGAATCCGGTGTGTTGAACGGGAACAGTGAATTAGCCTGCTTAAATATGAATTTACTAAATGCCATTTACTAAACTGAAATATGTTAATGAATATGTTCAATGATTATATCTATCTATGCTATGGTAGGCTTATACCGAAGTATGAATAAACAGATTTCTGAATCCAACGATATAGGCTAGATACAGCTTACAAAATGTTAAAAAATAAATTAATCTCTATCAGAATGATCCGGATGTGAAAATCCAATGTTTTGCTATCCAGGATCACAAAACCCATCTGACTTTTGTGCCGGTTTTTCAAAGCAACATTGGATTGGATCATCCTGATCCAGAAACTTTTCAGGATTAAGAAATCTGGATTTCCAGTGCTCTAAATGGGACTACGTATCACAATGTAGATATAAAGACCAACAGGTAGAACAGCCAACGTGGGGTCACTTTAATTTGAGGAGACAGAAAATGCACAATAAAACAACACAAACATCCATCCATCGTCAACCGCTTATCCTGCGTACAGGGTCGCTGGAGCCAATCCCAGCTGACAGCGGGCGCCAATCCATCACAGGGCCACACATAGACAAACAACCAGTCACACTCACACACAATTTAGGGTCACCTATTAACCTAGTCTTTGGACGGTGGGAGGAAGCCGGAGCACCCGGAGAGAACCCACGCAAACACGGGGAGAACATGCAAACTCCACAGAGAAAGGCTGGGAAGACCGGCAAACTAAACAAACGCTTTTCATAATGAACGACAGTCGGAGTTAACCTAGGCCGTAGCTTCAAGGCAACAAACCTTGTTGCTGTGAGGCAACAGCGCTACCCAGCAAGCGATTCTATAGACGTCTAAACAGCCCAGACGTCAGTGAAAGTTTGGTAGACGTCTAACCATTGCCCAAAAATAGTCTAGTCATCAATTAGACCACTACTGAACGACTACATATAGACGTCTAATAGACATTGAAAATGGGTCTAGGCTAAAACAAGGTTGAATTTGGGCTGTCAGTAAAAAGTGAATAGACGTCTAACCATAGCCCAAGAATAGACTAAACACACAGCTTTTGAATGACTACATAGCTACGTCTAATAGACAACAGAATAGTGGCTAAAGGTTTTTTTTACTCAAACATAACAGGTTCTCATAAATGGTAACCGTCCTAACAAATTAAATATAAAGATTTTATTAAGAAAAATGATTACAGCATAGACAACTTAAGATAATACAACATGATGAAAATATAAAGGAATTATTGATACAATATTATTATAAATACAAAACAGTTTATATGAAAATACAAACAATTTTAACAACATGTGTAATAAAAACATAAATAATGAGAAAATAAATTGGTTGCTACATCCAAATCTAGATCTTCATTTAAGCTGCTACTTGATGCAGTAAGAGCATCAGATGGGTCTCTCGGTTGGCGCCAGTCTCTCGGGTAAATGGGATCCATAACTGTTGAATATGTAAGAATATGAATATAAGTAAACATTATAAGTGACCATGTTCACTGTTTTGTTAAGACATGACTACAATCAACAAACATACAGTATACTTCTAATTATCATTCTAATGAAGGTAAAAAGGTAACGTACATGTTTGATGTTCACCCCCTTTGAATTCAGATAATATAATGTAAGAGATTTTAAGGGCACGAGGAAACCCGTGGGTATCATGGAGTGATGTTAAGTTACATGTGCATCATGCAGCATGTTAAGCTAACCACAAGGTGCATTACTCTACACTGTTACCTGCTGAAATGTCACGGTTCCTACACGTTAACAAATAATTTAGATAAATAATAAAGACATGTCAAACAAAGACACAGATACTTACAAGACCAAAGGAAATGTCTTTTCGCTTCCAGTGTTTGCAGTAAACGTCTCGGGTTACGTATGTAACCCTTGTTCCCCGAGAAGGGGAACTCGAACTGCGTCGGTGACGACACTATGGGAACGCCTCTGGGTGTGGCAGGGCTGAACTATGAATGAAACTACTCCAATCTTTTTGGTGTTACTAGAACGGTAGTGTGTGACGGCGTAACCGGAAGGGGTATATAAGCACGCCGGCACATAGGACACATTAGCCCTTTCTATGAAGCAAGGCACTCCAGGCGGGGTGAGGTGTGGCAGACCGACGCAGTTTGAGTTCCCTCGAGGGGGAACGTCTCGGGTTACGTATGTAACCTTTGGGTTACATACCCAGCCAGTGGCCCAGCCAGCCGCGTCACACAAATCCTGGAGTGACGCCCCTGCGAGGAAGGCCCTAGAAGCCGCCATGCCTCGAGTAGAGTGCGCCCTTACGGCCATAGGTGAAGGCAAACCGTGCACCTGATAGGCCAGGGAAATAGTCTGAACGATCCAGTTGCTGATGGTGTGTTTAGAAGCGGGGAGCCCAGCCCTGGGGGACCCGAAACACACCAGCAACTGGTCTGCTTTCCTCCACTGGGAAGACCTCAGAGTGTAAATACTCAGTGCTCTGACAGGGCAGAGCACATGAAGTCTCCCATCCTCCGCCGTCACATGAGGTGGGGATGAAACGCCTGCAGCACTGTGGACCCTGCCACTCTGGCCGGAACCTTAGGGACATAACCTGGACAAGGGTGCAAACCGAAAGTGCCTGGAGATCCCCCACCCTCCTCAGAGAGGTGATAGCGAGGAGAAAGGTCATCTTAAGGGTCAGGTGCTTGGCCTCCGCCGACTCCAGGGGTTCGAAGGGGGCTGTAAAGGCCAACAGAGTAGTTAAGCACTATTTTGATCATAGCTACGCTATAAGGTTTTATTATTACGGTATCGGACATTTATTTTGATAACCAAAGAAACCAGAAGTAAAGTGACGTAAATGAACTTGGCAAACGGCGGAAAGGACGAAAGAAAAGTCTGAAAAGGTTCACGGAAAAACAGTTAAAACTACAAGGTTTAGCTACGGTCAATTGGGGAACAAGGTTTGTAGAGTTAATGAGAAATATATTTGAGCTAGCCTACTGGAATTGTTTATCGTATAATGTACAATTTGGTAATGCTATCGTATTGAAACTAATGTAATGAGCTGTGTAACGTTTGAAATGTGATGGTAATGCATGGTTTATTTGTTTTTACTCAGCTCTTACGTTGGTTGATGACAAGGAAAGCAATAAAAGTCATTTAACCATCAGTTCTGGCTTTCTCAACATTGACTGGATGCTACAGTAAGAGCTTGACCACCGCCACACGCTGAACAACGGGGCTACAATATTCAACGGCAATACCCTAGACGTCCAGCAGATGGCAGAAGTTGGTCAGAAAATAAAAGGGTTCAAAGAAAGGTGCTCAAAATGGAAGAATCACAGGCTGCTTCAGTAAGTCAAATGGACATAAATGAACAGATCACAAATTTACAACAAGAAATTCAAGATTTAAAAGACGCACTTAAAGATGAAATTGAAGATAGACAAAACATTAAAGATTCAATCACATGTAAAGAACAAATCTTAACAGAGCTTCAAGACAAAGCTCAAAGCATGACAGAGCTGCCAAGACGTTCTGAAAGAGTTAAAGTACAAATGGAAAAGATAACATTCCAAGAGGATGAAAGGAGAAAAAAGGAAAAAAGACTAATAACTCTTTATGAACAATGGAAAACACAGGTACGCGAAACAAGAGAAAGTTTAAAGTTAGATATCACAGATAAGGAGATGTCAGAACTCGCAGACATAATAGAGCGAAAGAGAGATGATGTATTGAAGTTATATTCAGAAATAAGAAACCAAATGGCACCATCATCTGACATAAGGAGAAAGATTGATGCATGCGATGCAATAACTCATGACATCGTAAGGATAATTCTGGAAAGATTAAGTGGTGTTGATGAGGATTTTGATGCAGAGCGCGAAAGAACTCGCTTACGTGAACTTTTAAAACACGACTATGCCCAGTCCATATACGGCTCAACCGCAGCATCAAATCGCAGCCAACGGTCCTCAGCTTCACAGCTCACAACAAAACGAGCCGACGCAGCAGCAGAGCTAGCTGCAAAAGAGGCTGAATATGAGATCGTACTAGAGGAACAAAGACAACAGGAAAGGATAAAAGCTCTAGAGGAGGAGCACAAGAAACAAATGGCAGCTCAAACATCAGAGTTGGAACGCTTGAAAGCACAAAAGGATGTGAAAGCAGCTCGAGCCAGGTTTGAAGCATATGACAGAGAGTTATCACAGGTGGATGATGTACGGTCAATTAAAGGTGAACAGGTGAGCCCATACTTCACACCCAAACAGCCCACACCAGCACTCTCATTCATTCCGGTGCAAACAACTCCCCCTAGTGTCACTCAACTAGCTCAAGCAGTGCAGGACAGCATTAAACTGAACAGACTTCCCACGCCAGAACCAACAGTGTTTAGTGGCGAACCAATAAGCTTTATTGAATAGAAATCCACGTTCATATCACTGATTGAACAAAAGGGCATCTCAGCGGCAGACAAGTTGTACTATTTGAAAAGATATGTAACGGGTCCAGCTCGAAAATGCCTTGAAGGGACTTTCTTTAGAAACGATGAGGAGGCTTACAAGGACGCCTGGGACAAACTAAACCAAAGGTACGGCCAGCCATTCGTGATTCAGAAGGCATTTAGAGAAAGGCTATCAAACTGGCCTAAAGTGCAA